AAATATTGGAAGAAATCATTCCAACAGCACGTTGAGCATCAACCAAATTCGTGCGGAACTGAAGCTTTCTGCTTCGAAGTCGACAGTCTGGAGGGCTATTAGACGCAACAGCAACATAGTGAGAGAAGTTATGCAGAAGGCGCCACACTTACTTGCGCTCACAAGTCGGCTCGTCTCGATTTTGCTAGGAAGAACATCACAACGGACTGGAAGCAGGTGTGGTGATAAAAAGGAAACGCTATGTACTGGCCAACCAGTAAAGAGGAACTTGTGTTCAGTAATCTTTTCTGACGAGAAGAAATTCAATCTGGACGGGTCAGACGGCGCTAGATGTTACTGGCGTGATTTGAGGAAAGATCCCATGCGGTTCAGCCGACGTAACTTCGGTGGCGGTTCTCTTATGGTTTGGGGAGCCTACTGCTGGGACAGAAAGCTGGAACTAGCATTCATCTCCTGCCGAATGGACTCGCGTGAATATCAGGAAGTACTTGAGTCCAACTTGTTGCCTTTCCTCCGTCGCTGGCGAAGAGGAAAACCGATTTTCCAGCAGGATAATGCAAGTGTCCACGCGAGCAGGTCAACATCGGAGTGGTTTCAGCAGCATAGAGTTGACGTTATGGAGTGGCCCGCGTGTAGCCCTGATCTCAACCCTATGGAGAACCTCTGGGGCATCATTGCTCGAAAGGTTTATGAAAACTGTAGGCAGTTTGAGACCATCAACGAGCTGAGATGTGCAGTCATCGACGCGTGGAAGAACATTGACGCCTCAGTGCTCCAGAACCTATCAGCAAGCATGCCTCATCGACTCATGGAGCTGGCTTCCAAACAAGGAGCACCGATTGATTACTGATTTTGCTGTTGTTGTCTTGTTGAACATAGAAATAAACTGTTGATGAGAGTGGACGTATAAAGCTCTGTGAAACGGCCGAAAATCGGTTATATGCCTATAAAAAATCCCATGGGAGATCTAACTTACTGAACACCTGCTTTCCAGTGTTTTTTTATACGACGAATCTCACAGTGTACACAACAATACTCCACCATCGCTTCAAGGAATGTTTTCAGTAAATTGATGGGTGGACGTATACTTGGTGCGTGCGGCTGGCTAATAACTGCTAGTGGGCTGGCTAATAAGTAATGGCCGTTTTTTCAATTGAAAAATTTGTTTCAAAAGTGAAAAGTTTTGCAAGCAAGCTTAATATCGTTTAATAGCAAACTTCTCGTAGTATTAGAATATCAAATTCAATTAATTCAACTATTAGCATGAAATTTCAGGTGGAACAGACGTGAGCCTGCCCAATATTGGCAAGGTGAAGGTTGCCAACTTTGAAATTCTTGAAATTAGTTCCAAAGCGTCCTATTGAGATTCCCTTGCTGAGACTTCTACCTCAACCTTTTCCGAATGTATGGAGCAGCTTAAGCGATTTTAGCACTTCGAGTAGACGTAAATAGAGGCAGTTGTCGAAGATGCTAATTTTCGCCGACTTCACTTCCAACTTCAACGACTAAAAATTCACAAAAACTATATCCTCAACCAAAGCTTTTTTGATATTCTTATACTACGAGAAGTTTCCTATCAGATGATATATAACTTGCTTGCAAAACGTTTCACTTTTCAAACAAATTTTTCAATTGAAAAAAAACCGCCATTACTTATTAGCCAACCTAATACCTCGGTCTACCATTCTTCGCTGAATTCTCATTAAACTTTCCACCAGTTTGTCCGCAGTTTTTCCGAAAGTTCCTCATTTTCCTCAAACTGGGGAACCACTATGACGCCACTGATCACTGAAAAGGGAAAAACTGAGAAAAGTCGACAAAGGAAAATAGTTTTCTCAAAGGAATCCCCAAATTTTGATTGTGCCTCGATCGATAGACAGACAAACCAATATTACACTTCAATGGCTAGTTGGTAAAGTTAGTCATAATCGTCCATCCTCCCCTTTCCTTTGCTACTGTACTGGTCCTTTTCGTTTTGCATCTTTTTGCGTATTTACTGGAGTTCAAGTTTTAAGACTTTTTGTAGAGCGTGAATGTTTTATCTTTTTGCGCCCTTACGTTGAGAGACAATGAATGAGAACTTGTGGATTTCATCTCTTACATTACTTATTTGCTGGGTACTACTCGAGACACTGAATGTCTTCAAAAACCTTTCTTCAACGGTATTCTGCAAAATGAACTCCCTTGGAGTTGAGTTGTGGAGCTGGCCCAGGTTTAGCAACCTAACAATCTTTGCAATGCGTTGGCATACAACTGAAGTTGCACGGGATCTAGCGTGTTCAATCCTACTGCACTAGTCCCCATCTTCACTGGAAAGGTGCCCACCATCTAAGACTGTTTTTTTATTATGTTTTGATCATTTTTATAGTTGGACTGCCGCAAGTACAGGGGGGGGGGGCAAAAAAAAGTCATTTTGCCTCCATGACTTTCAAGGCGCTATAAGTTACACTTTATTAAATTTTTATCGGACATTTTTACTACCATATTAAAGAGCATTAAATACTATAATGATACTCGCTGCAGCCTTTTTCTGGAGGTCGCCATCGAGAGATTCGGCCGCGCGAAAGTGAGTGGGTACCGGAGTTGAGCGAGATCGTTGATTTCTCCGCCACTGTAGACCACCCTGTTGAGCTCCGCTTCCATTCCAAGTAGGCGAAAGTTTTTCCAACGCCCTTCGATTAAATGTGTTGTCACCCAATCCTGTAGCAGTACAAAGTTTCCAAGAAGGTACGGGCGACGACATGAAGATGGGATATTCTCCTCGAGTTGCTCGATGTAGCCACCAGCGCACACCCTCAGTCTGGGGCCCACGAAGAAAATATCGGTTCATCCATTCCAGGTACGGCCGGTCCACACCATCAACCCGCGCCTTGGTGAATGGGGTGAAGATGATGTCCTGGACCGTAGCGACGTTTGCCGGAGCTCGAGTTTGAGGTCTTGCAGATCAAGAGTACTGGTCTCCAGGTAGCTATCCATGGGTGATTCCATTCAAGAAGTTCCGCAGCTGTTTGGAGGCCACGTGAATTCCAAAGGCGTTCTCCACTCAGGCCGCGACTGGAGATGACTTCATATTTTGGTGTACATGAAGGTGAATGGCGGCAGCCGGCTCCTGCTTATAGAGGAAGATCTTGGGTATCTTCCGCCCTGGTACTCATATCCACTTCCTCTGTCTGGCTGCGAAAACTTCGCTCATATGTGACTCGGCGAATGACTTTTGTGCTCCCCCCCCCTGTAAATGCGTGTGGGCACAGTTCTCGTGGTCGTGCAGGGCAGATCAAGCTTAGCATTAACCTAACCCCCCTCCACCCGTGGTCCCTTTCCATTGGAAGAAGTTGTCGTGGACTGTGCCCTGTAATAGCTAGTTTGGCACATCAATGAACAAGTTAGTTTCCTACCAGGTTACCTTGGATATCTAGGGAGCATTTCAATGTGTGGCACATCGGAATGACCGATCAACCCAGAATTCACACTCTTGTGGATGGGCTCCTCGTGAAAACTAGCCTTGATATGCAAAACCTGTCGCAGTAGCCAAACATTTTCACGCTTCTTGGACAGTAGCTCGAGTGTTGGAGGCTTCGGAAGATGGTACGGGGGGGGGCAATAAAACAAGTCACTTATCGAGTCACATATCAGCAAAGTTTCGCAGCCCAGACAGAGGACGTGGATACGAGTACCAGGGCGGAAGATACCCAAGATGTTCCTCGATAAGCAGGAGCTGGCTCTTGCCCATCACCTTCATGTACACCAAAATATGAAGTCATCTCCAGTAGCAGTCTGACTGGAGAAGACCTTTGAAATTCACGTCACCTCCAAACAGCTGCGAAACTTCTGGTATGGAGTCACCCATGGATAGCTATCTTTGTGGTTTGTTTCAATTTCATGGAGACCAGCTCTCTCGATGCTGGCAAGATCTCCAACATCCGAACAGCTTCGACCAACGTGCTTACGCGTCTAGGACATTCATCTTCACCATAGTCGCCCAGGGGCGCGGTTGATGGTATGGACCGGACGTACCTGGAATGGAAAGACCAATATTTTCTTCGTGGACCCCGGACTGAAGGTGAGCGCTGGCGGTTACATTGGGCAACTCGTGAAGAATATCCTCCTCACATGTGGTCGCCCGTACCTTCTTGGAAACTTTGTACTGCTACAGCATTGGGTGCCACCACATGGAATCGGAGGGCGTTGGAAAAACTCTCGCCTACTTGGAATGGAAGGGCGTTGAGTACCGGGGAGATGGAATATCCAGTTAGGTCACGCCTGTATACTTAAACTACTCAAATACCGGCTCGGGGCGGAGGCTCAATGGGTGGTTCTACGGTGGCGGGGTTTCAGATATCGACTATCTTGACTGTTCTCAGGGCCACCCGATTGCTCGTCGGTATCACGTGCCAGAATCTTTTGATGGCGCTCATCAGAAAGCTGTGGCTGAGTCTCATGATAGCATTTAATATGCTCTTTAAGATGGTGATAAAAATGTCAGATCAGAGTTTAATAAAGTGTTAACGCCTCGAGAGTCGAGGAAGAAAAAGTGATTTTTTATTGTGCCCCTGTATAGCGGCAAGTGGCGAGCTTACCACCCATGCTTTCCGAATGTCAGATCCCGCTTCACCAGGTCAACCACGTCTTCTACCCTCCGGGAACGGTTTATTGGTTTCAGATTCTTCCTGGTGGATGAGGACTGTGACATGTACATCGGATGGCTCCTTCAAATCACTGTAAAGGCCACATCGCGTCCACTAAGCCACCACGATATTGAATTCAAGTAGAACATCTGCCGCACCCCAAAAAGGGTTCGATCAACGTCGATAACTCAGCCCTTTTCATCCTTTCAAGTGTTGAGCTTGACTTATAATGTTTTCAGCTTATACTGCTTTTTCGTGTTTTTCAGATTCGTGCAACATTGGCTATGGGCTCAGATCTTGCAGTAAGTTGGTAGATAGTTTCCAAAAGCTCCTTCATGGATTTTCAGATCAAACAGAGGCAAATGGGCTGACTCAATGGAACACAATGATGGAGAAAAGTTTGTAATTATTGGCAGCGGTCCAACTGCTTTAGGTGCCGCCTATCGGTTGCACGAATTAATTGAGCAAGGGAGTCTTTCTGAATCAACACAGGTGAGATTCACCAATATATGTCCTCTCAATTAAGGGAGACGATCTTTCAGAGCTTCGCTGTTTAGGTTACCGTAATTGAAAAGGAGATTGAAGTAGGTGGACTGGCTCGTTCAGTCACCGATCGAAGAGGTTTCACATGGGATCTCGGTGTACATGTTACTGGTGAGTATTCACCATGACTTTCTTTGTTGATCCATCATTTTCTCGGAGCTTTTCCTCTCTCCAAGTCTGCCTCGGCTTCCTTGTATACACTACAGTCTTATCCCCTGAAGCATCCTAGTTGCTGTGGAGATTTGGAATGACAGAGATTCTGAAAAGAAGAGGCTCTCCCCTTCTTAGAGGGATAGTCCTAACCTCTGGAGTGGCAAAATATGTTCGCTCTTAATGTAGCTTAGCTGTCTCCTTCCTTAAATCCATTCACTACCAACCATGTTCAGTAGCTCTCCTTTCGTCACTCTGAGTTCAGAAAAAAAATGCAATATTCCGACTGTAACAGATATTCCATCTTGAAGTGACTATTGCGCTAGAATCATCTGTAACGGTCCATCTCATTGACGCCTGCTGCATCTATAATTATCTGTTCAAGAATATTAGTTTCCTCTTCAGAGACCGAAAAGCCTAGCGCATAATATGATTGAAGAGTGTTTTTACCACTATGCAATGTTCAAACAAATGCTGAATGCTAGATGCATCAAGCAGATCTTCTACTATTCAGGTCATTCCAAATATCCGAAGTTCACACATATCATTAATCGAGCAGTACGTCATTGGAACAACGTGCCCCGCTGTGTCAAAGTGCGTTTTCAACACAGCTGAAAGCACACGTAGTTGCGAGCAATGATTTCATAAAAATCTAGAAGGACTACACGAATTGTTGGAAGTCCCATGTAATTCGAGGAAGTTCGAATCACCTTCTCATTCAGGCATATATGAGGCATGTGATTCAAGATGATGACAACGTGGAGGCCAACTACGTACCGTATCCAGTGCAGGATTCGATACCGTATTTTCCAGAGAAGGTGAAACTCAGGTGTCTTGATGAAATTTCCTCGTTGTCAGCATCTACTGAGACTGCAGCAAATTTCGACGAGTTCACAGCGAACACCTTCGGAGAAACGCTGCAGGCGATTTTTATCCGGCCATACAATGAAAAGGCTAGTACAAGTTGGAGCAAACAAAACTTGTGTGGTGATAGAGTGTGTTTAAGGTTTGGACCGTGCCTCTGAATGAGATG